GGGCTACACCATGAAAGTGCACTCTTTGCTTCATACTGATCTAATATTATCATTATTTGACAAATGGACAGAAGCATACATAGACACAGATGAACTAAGGAGAGAGCGTACTAACAATTTTCACGTATGTATGTATGTATGTATGTATGTATGTATGTATGTATGTATGTATGTATGTATGTATGTATGTATGTATGTATGTATGTATGTATGTATGTATGTATGTATGTATGTATGTATGTATGTATGTATGTATGTATGTATGTATGTATGTATGTATGGTATTGTATGTATGTATGTATGTATGTAAAACCACTTCTTCTAAACACATATGGGAATCACATTTCCATAACTTGTGGCACAAAAGGTGCGTGTTTAATCTGAAGTTATAAAATAATCACAGGTTCAGTAATCTGCAGTCAAAGATAATCTTAAGTAATCTGTATACTTAGGAAACGTGATTATCCAAAGCCGCTTCCTGCAATGTATGTATTATTTTTCTACAGCGCGATTATTTTAACATTGTAGTTATCCATGTTAAAATGTGCATGTTGCCCATTTTGGGAGGTGGGGGGGGGGGGATCGCTTACCGGAAACTATTCGAGCTCGCCCTGATTTCGAGAAATATGCTCTTAAGCTGTAGGCCGGAGATAGATAGATAGATAGATAGATAGATAGATAGATAGATAGATAGATAGATAGATAGATAGATAGATAGATAGATAGATAGATAGATAGATAGATAGATAGATAGATAGATAGATACAGAGATAGATAGAGAAGAGAGAGAGAGAAAGAGTTGATTTATTGTAGGGCAAAGAGGTGAGCCTGAGCTAGAGCGCTCTAGCCTACATAAGAACAGGGAATGATGCGAGGTGATGATGGGAAGAAGAAAAAAAGTATGTGTATTTATGCACTAACCACATCCAGATTTTGCTAGAATATGTTGCCCAGTCCTGTACTCTTAAGAATGCCCATAAAATCCTCCGTGGCTGTTGCTGATTTCGTCGGATTTCACATTGCTGACAAAATGCAAGTTTCACTTGGCATTCCTACACAGATTTTATGACAGCATTTAAGCGCACATTTTGCGTTGCGACGCGTGAAATGGTCAATCAAAAAATATAAATGCTGTGGTTTCACGGATGTACAGTTCGAAGTGTGCCACAATTTATGAATTTTCCTGAACCATTCATTGAAAAAAAAAAAGCGGTCTCACGCCGGTTTCCTAGATTATGTCCTTGAATCCGGCACTCTAACTAATAGGTGTTCCAGATAATATTTACGACAGCCGTGAGGAAGTTTATTGATAAATGTTAGCTGGAAATGACGAAAGGGAACGCCCAATTTCATGGCAATCAAATCACTTGTTGCTCTGCCACCTTGCACGTTTGCATAACAGTGTAGCTCACGTTATGTAAAAGGGCGCGGGCGCTCGATTTGAGGGCGAAATTAGGGAAATTGTTCAAGTCTCCTACCGCACGTGGTCTAGAACGATACTTCAAAAGACGAGCGACACATTTCGTCCAGTGATAATATCGGCAAGTCACAAAAACAGACGCACAAAAAGGCAAGACCTGTGCTCCTAAGCCAGAATGATTAATTCCTTTGGGATGACCATTTGTTTGCACCAACCATGACTCAGTCTGCATTATTTAGTAAAATAATTTTCAACAGCAAATATTTATGCTAACATTTCAGCATCGTTTTCTATTCCTAACGTAATCCCCTTAACTTTTTGCTTGAGGGATATCTCAAAAGGGCTCAAACTGTTGAAAAGGTGGTTGTATATTGTTATATTCTTACGAAAGCATACATCGCCTGGTGCTATCCTATCCCAGCTGTGTGCCCGCTGTCGCATGAACGAAAAAAGGGCAATTTTTGAAAGGGCTAGCTCCTTTAACGGACACAACAAACTAATCAAAATAGACAAAAGGACCGAGAAAAGCCCAGGAACGTTAAATGTCCTTAACATCAGTGTAGTAATTATGACGCTTCTCTATCATCGTAGCTCAATTGGTAGATCATGAGACGCATAATTCGAAAATGGTGTACACGGATTCCACCGACTAAAAGGGTGATTTGTAGACCGTATTAACTATTTTCAATCGGTGTCATAATTGCTGCAAAAGAGTTAGCACACCAATTAGCGTTCCAATGCTATACATCACCTAATTGTTGTTAAATTCGTTTTATCGCATATAATGTTGTTGAAAGGCATGTAGAGAGAGAGAAAGAGAGATATGGTATGAAGAAAGGCAGGGAGGTTCACCAGAAAGCAAGTATCTCGCTTGCTGCCCGCGCCAATTACATCGAGACGTATCAATAGAACACACAGACAGTCAAGCCAACACAATACAATAATTTCTTCACATTCATAGCATAATTGCTGCAAATAACTCCCTCTATAGTTTCCTTGGCTCGATTCCATGTTTGTTCTAGGTATCGTGTTGTTTAACATAGGAAGACCAGCCCTTAAACTACGCTTGTTTCATTTAAAACGTTGTAGATACTTTCAGCACCGCTGACTCACACTCTGCGTTTTTAGCGTGACCGCTGACATTAGCCACGCTCCCGAAGTACGACAGTTGGAAAGAAACCGCATTCGTATAGCGGAACGTGCACGTATAAAACGCGGCGCATCAAACGTCACATCGTCGACGGAACAAACGTCTGGCGAAGAGCTTCGTCGCTCGGCCAGCCGCGCTAACGTCAAACGCAGCGGCGAGCCACGCCGGGCTTTGCGCTCGTTCGCTAGCCAAGAGCGGCGCGCTCCGCAAAAGCACCGCCCCTGGGCAACGCACCGCTCGTCGCGCCGCTCCAAAGAGGGCGCCTCAATCGCGGCGGTGACCGCTGTCCCCCAACGCGACTGAACTTCTCTCTCTCTCTATCTCTCTTCCCTTCTCTCATCTCTCCAGCCGCGGCCCGCCGGTAAAAGAGAGCAAGGGTGTTCCGGCTTCGTTCTGCTAACGCTTGAGGAGGAAAAAGGCTCGCCTGCTGCCGTGGCTAGCGTTAGACCCCGAGAAAAGGGGGGGGGGGAGAAAAAAAGAAGACCAAAGCAGCGAGGGGTTGAGGGGGTCGAAAAAAACGCTCGAGCCAGCGGCGAGTTGCCGCCGCCGTAGAAGAGACCGTGTTGGCGCGCGCGAGCGAGCCCCTAGCTGGAAGCTCGCGGACAAGCAGCCCGGCGAGGAGACACACGGACCGGCGTGCCGCGCTTTAGCCTTGTTGTGCTTTGTTTCTGCTCTCCCTCTCGCCCCCCTTCTCCTCGCCGCCAACACCGCCGAGTTGTGCCTTACTTAATTTTCTTTTTATTTTTCTCTCGCCTCGATCGCGACTCCTCCCCTTTCGGTTGTGCCTGCGTCAGGCCGCGGCGACGGTTTGCTTGTGCGTGCGCGCGCGCGTGTGTGTCCCCCCGTCGTGTCCGAGTGGAGAAGCGCTGCCGCCGGAGGCTACAACGTGCGTTCTTCCTCGCGCGCGCTACGAGACGCACGTTTCGGGGCCCGCGGCGCAAGCGGACCGCAGTCTCGCGTGCAGTGAAGTGTTGTCCGGTCGCGTCGTGTACCAAGAGACATCGCCACGCAGCGCATAAAGAGCGAACGAAGAAATCGTCTGCTTCGTGTCCTGCCCGAAGAAAAAAAAATATCGTCTGCTAGTGTTGTCGTCTGCTCGTGTGGTGTGGTGCGCCGTGGTGTTGTGCGTGTTGTGGTGTTATTACTCGGTGATGCTGGTGGTGAGTGTTGTGACAGGCCCGGCGTGTCCACGGAGAGGGACGTCCGAGTGATTCCGCATCGTCGCCGGTGGGGATGTGTTGTAGCCGCGGTGTCGCGTTTGTTTGTGACAAAGACGATTCGTATCATAGTAGGGGTCGTGTCGCTGTGTTGTTGTGTGCAGCGGTGCTTCGCCGAGACGGGAGAGAGAGTAAAGGTACTGTTTTTTCTTAAGATTACCCCCTTCCTTCATTTCCTTCTCGGAGTCATCTCTTAACGGGACGCTTGCACGGAGCATCAGCGAACGAAATAACGCTCTCTCTCCCCTCGATTTGTAGTGCTGTTCTCTCCCAAAGCGCTCACTGGTGGCGAGGTACAAAAAGAAAAAAAAAAGAACGTAAGTGAGGTTTGTGCCCACAAATCTTCTCGCGTGGCTGTCGTTGCCTCGTGGCTCTTGCGTTCAAAACGCTTTCCAAACAGGTGTTTCAAAAAGCCGGCGCCAGTTTTGTTTTCACGGCACGTGATATACCGTTTCAGAGGGTGCTTGAAATAAATAAATAAAAAGAACACGAACGGTGTGCGTTATAGCCCAATTACTACCACGCAGCCGTTCGTTTGTTTTTACAACGCCACGTTACCTTCACCCTTTCCACTGCCGCTGAAAGAAAGTAACCCTCTCCCACCGCAAGTTACGAAAACAGGCAAAAGCTAAAAGCTGTCACTCAAGCCTGTGACAACCCTCTTTTCGAAGCAATCCGGAAGAAGAATTTGTTTGCCCCCTTTTTTGTCTATTTACTTTCCAACTTTCGAGCGAGTTCGACGGTTAAAACATGAAATAAAACAAAAAGCAGACGACTCTAAGGCAAACCGATACCGGTGACGTCACATCGTGGATGACCGCTTTACCATCTGTGTCGACCGGTTAACAACGCAGCGCCAAACTTGAGTAAGCCTTCGCGAGTGACCACAACAGAAAGGGATCGTACGGTAAACTTTACTGGGCCCGAGATCTTCGTGCTGGAATCCGAGACTTCTGACCAGTCGCGAAATCGTCCGTCCACATTGGAGGCACCACGAGTGACCGGTTAGAGGGACGTGGTAATCGGTCGCTTCTGACCACTTCTGACGTCATCCGACGTGACTGTTCGACGGCGGCTGCAGGAATCGGATGTTCTCGTTGTCCAGCGATCGCGCGGGACAGGAGTTCGACGGTTCTTCTTGGCCTGCGTTGTCAGCGTTGGATGTGCGACGAGCGCTGTGCTTTCTGTTTAGTTCTCTCCGGTTCCCTTGTGAATGAGAGCCTGAGGTTTCGGCCCCGGTCTGAAGTGGCCACGGGAGCTGGACCCAGGCTGTCGCGCCCCGCGCGGACCTTTTGACATCGGGGTGTGCGACGCCAAACTGGACGACGCCGATGCCATGTCACGGCGCAAACAGGACAAGCCCCAGCCGAGGAAGCGCTCGGTTACCGGTAAGTGCCGTTGCATATTTGTCAACGAGATGCTCGTTATCGATACTACCAGTCATGCGCTGTTGTTACGCTGGCCACATTCGATCGCGATCAGAACCGATCAGGCCCAGGCTCTAACCGGATCACGTTGCTACCCGGTGACTTTAAATCGCGATCGGCGCATCTCTATTTCGCTCCTAGATCTCTATTTGACGGACGTCTGCGCGAAGTTGGATATACGTATTACGCCGGTGTCACACGGGCTATATTGATCTCGATCAGCGCCGATACGAATTAGGTTTGATTCTGATTAGGGTTTGCTACGCGGTCACATTTATTCGTGATCAAGTACGATCGACATTGAAGATTATTGATATCAGCGCACTTCACTGACGTCAGCGCCAAGCCTCTATGAAGAAATGCGATCCGGATTGCACGCTATCGCGATCAAACATGACACCTCTCTATACCTCTTTATAACATTACCTCTGTAGTATCACTTTTACAGTGCTACCTCTTTAGTACTCCCTCTCTACAGATAAATAATCGAGATTATTCCTCGCTAAGGGCGTCCCAATCGGTACATCCAGCACATCGCTATTATTACGTGGTTCGCTGTGCCGTTATCTTTCTATACATCGTTGAGATATATCGCTTAGACGTTTGTTATCACTGATTTGAGTTCATGTTACTGGTTTGTTCATATAGATTGGTGAGGCGACCACTCGCCAAGAGGTGCATTATCGACACTCGCTTCATTATACCTTTCTATTTATAGATCACTGAGATAATTTTCTTCTAGTAGGCTTTCTATTATTAATTATATCGGTACATCTCTATCAGTGTGCCAGTTCGCTGTCACATCTTGCTGTACATCGTGGATAGTAGTGATGTTCATTATCAGCACTCTCATTTCACATCATCATTTTATTATTACGTCATTAACGTAATCAACTATGACGTTCCTCATAAATTTACAGCTGATGATATATAAGTGATGTTCGTTATCAACGGTCTCACTTCACGTCACCTTTTTATTAATACGTCATTAAGATGATTCGTCTATGATGTTTGTTATCAATTTATAACTGATTGTGCTGGTTGAAATCTTTGAGTAGATCTCTCGCGAAGACGCCCGTTATCGATTCTCGATTCATGTTACTTTCTTTTTTTCTGCTATAGACCATCGAGGTAGCTTTCAACCGCAGATTTCTTATAACTATGTAATTACGCTATCTTTCTGTACATTTTATGAATATTTTTCGGTAAGAATGTCGTCGTAAACGTTTAAACATTTACCCCACACTATAGACTAATGAGATGATTTTTTGCTGGATTGATCGTTATCTATTTAACAACGTGTCTATACATCGTTCGTATGATTTCTCGCTAAGCTGCTTATCGAAGCGGTCAGTTCACTATACCCATTTCAATGGGTATATAGCTTCGAAAATTTTTCACTAAAAAGGGTGCGTCGGGAATTGGAATCACGTTACCTGTTCAAACGTAGTTGAGATAATTTCTAGGCTATTTACCGATGCTCCGCATTAGCTCCTAGATTATCGAGATCACGTGTCCTACAGAGATTCGCTATCGACTGTATTCACTATCTGTTCTTATATCTCCGTGATTAGAACGATTTCTCGCTGATACAGTTTGGTGGGCAGTGATACTTTCTTCTTTTCTTTGCATAGGTGAGACCGTTTATCAATTTGAAGTTGGTTATTGCGTGATTGAAATCACATTATTTATACGTGTGCGTCTTTTAGATAAAGGTTACGGTGGCGGGGCGAGGGTAGATAAGAGCCTTTAATAAAACAAAAGGCATGCGCTTCTACAGAGATAACACATGTGGCAGGTATAGTACGCTGAAGCAGTAATATTACGTGGCATATGTGTGGGTAAACTGCTCGAGCATTCGACGAACGAGCGTTCACGTATACAAGTACATGTGGCTCAAAATCCTGGCTCAAGCCCATGGGACGGCTTTCTGCTCTCCCGTAGTCTTGTCTTGTCTTGTCTCCTAGGAGATCTTGGCTCATACCCACATGGGGGATTGGCCACACTGTTCCTCTCTCCCATAGTGTACATCGTACTCTAAATCGTTAACGACTTTTTCTACACCCACACACACACATCCACAGTAATGTGTGCAGCGATGCTAGGATGTCATGTTCTGGGCGCACGGGACGGTCTCTTGCTGTCCCATAGTAGACTACCAAGTACCGTAAATCGTAAACCACTTGTTCATAAACACATAGTAACGTGTTAGAGTTTTGTGAGTGTCCACCGGGGCAGCTTGTTGAGGCCACGTAACACCTTAAGGCGTTGAGAATTTCGTTTTTGACAAGTTTGGTAATTCGGTTAGTGATAATACGCCCCTGCCTGCAACGGCTTTCTTCTCTCCCATAGCAGAGCACCAAGTACTCTAAATCTCCTAAATAGACCTTTCAACGGTCGTTGGTTTTCTTGGCTGTAAAAAATTGGGATCTGGGACGGATTTAGCTTTCCTATAGGAAAATGCCAAGTACTCTAAATCGTTTAACGCTTTTTCTCAACATCATTAGCATATTTGTGTACGTTGTACTTTGAAACACATAAATACTACATACAAAATGGTGGCACAAGGAACATTGTGTACCGACGAAAGTGCGTGCTCTTTATATTTAGTCACGAAACAGCTCCGCCACGGTGGTCTAGTGGCTAAGGTACTCGGCTGCTGACCCGCAGGTCGCGTGATCAAATCCCGGGGAGGCTGTGGCGGCTGCATTTCCGATGGAGGCGGAAATGTTGTAGGCCCGTGTGCTCAGATTTGGGTGCACGTTAAAGAACCCCAGGTGGTCGAAATTTCCGGAGCCCTCCACTACGGCGTCTCTCATAATCATATGGTGGTTTTGGGACGTTAAACCCCACAAATCAATCAATTAGTCACGAAACAGGGAATGCGTGTTACAGTGCAACATAAGGCAAAAGAGCCAAGCGATAACGCTTTTGGTAACTATACATAGCCTTTGTGATGTGCATGATGTGCGAATTCTCACTGGTGTACGGATACAAACACGTGTTATTTTGGTGTCCCTCTTATATTCCTTGTTTATTTTCGTAATTGGCTTCTCTTCCTTTTTTTTTTTTGGAGGGGGGGGGGATCTGTACCAGAAAACGCTGTGCGTGGCGATGGGTTCACGCATTCTTCGTACTGCAAGATGACGTCACAGATCACGAATCGTCCTGGAGAAATTGCGGCGCGGCAATGAACGAGCAGCAACGCATATGGTACACTTGCACATCCTCCAGAACTTCGATGCTGCCGCAACAACCACCGACACGACCCATATTCAAACCGTGTTACCGCCATCACTAAAATACGTACAAACCTGAGGGCTGCGTATGCAGTTCATATATGATTTGAATACACACTGGCATAAGGTGCCTGACACAAGGCGCCCGGTGCTTCAATGGGTGGACCTATATTTGTTTAATAATATCTTGTGTTTATGATCCTAATACTATGATATGCTTATGAGATACACCGTTCGCCGGGGAGGGCTGTGGTAATGTCGACCTTATGGTGTTCTTTAACGTGCTTTGATAACGCGCAGAACACTGGCCCCTTGTGTCTAACCTCCATCGAAGTGTGACTGCATTGGCCGGAATCGAACCCGCAACCTCCGGGTGTGCAGCAGAGCACCGCAACCCCTTACGCCTTTGCGGCGGACACCTACCTTTTCTTTGTCTCTGACGCCTTGTCTCAATTGGCCTGCTAGTTTTGAAACAATCAGATTAGTTGTTTTCTGCGGGTTCCATCGCTTTATGTGTCGCGTATCCGAAGTGAAATTTCGGTTGAAGTCTATAACGATGGTTCCATGTGCATTTCTCTTTGGCATTGTCTTATTCTCGCTGGTAAAATGTATTCTGATAGTTTTGAAGGATTTAGTCGTTGGCGTCGCCTGCAGGCGTGGTGTAGTTGTCGGTATTCTTGTCATCACCAAAGTGATAGTGTGAGTTTAAGTTCAAAGTGTTTCGCTGTTCTCGTTGAAGAGGAACTCTACTCGCAATCACAACACTAGAAATTTGGCGTGACCCGCGAAATCCGCTGGACAAAAAACGGTCCGACTCTGACATATATACTTGCAGGTCTCGGTGTGCGTCGTATATATATTACATTTGCAGTTCGGTTCAGAAGCAACACGCGTTGACAATGGCGGCCACAACGAGGCTCCCACTTTCGAGGTTGAAGAAGTCGTGTGGAAACAGCTGGCGAAAAAATATCGGTTAATATGTGGGGTTTAACGTCCCGAAACCACCATATGATTATGAGAGACGCCTTGGTGGAGGACTCCGGAAATTTCGACCACCTGGAATTCTTTTACGTGCACCCAAATCTGAGCACACGGGCCTATAAAGCATTTCCGCCTCCATCGGAAATGCAGCCGCCGCAGCCGGGATTCGATCCCGCGACTTGCGGGTCAGCAGCCGAGTACCTTAGCTACTATAGACCACCGTGGCGCGGCCTGGCGAAGAAAGTTCACAGAGTCACAGAATCTCTCTCGCGAAAGGAAACTTGAAGATTGGCTTGAGAAAAGGTCGTTGCCTCATGCACTCTTAAAAAAAGGGTTGTAATACTTACTAAGTTTCACTTACTAAGTGCTTGTCACATATGTTACTACCCTCTTAGTAACTGGAGTTAGTAACAAGAGGCTTAGTAACCGCTACTAAGCAAGTATGTTAGTAACGGATACTACCATCTTAGTAACAGGTGCTACCCTCTTAGTAACAGAAGTTGCAGCATCTTAGTAACATATACTACCCTCTTAGTAACTGAAGCAAGCAGCGTGTTAGTAACAAGTACTACCCCCTTAGTAACTGAATCAAGCAGCATGTTAGTAACAGATACTACCCTCTTAGTAACAGAAGAAAGCAGTACCTTAGTAACAGATACTACCCTCTTAGTAACAGGTTCTACTATTTTAGTAACTACAGCAAGCAGTCTGTTAGTAACAAATACTACCTTCTTAGTAACT